CACACACACACACACACACACACACACACACACACACACACACACACACACACACTATCACAAGATGGAGATTGTAGAAAGACAGGAACATACAACAGAGAAAGAACAACAGCAGAAAAAACATGAAGAAGACAGAAGCTGGAAGAAAAACGGAACAAGACACAGACAGTGAATTGAGATCATCCACAATGAAGAAGACATTACAATAAATGTAACACAGAGAAAGGAAGCATGACATACAAACATAAATAGCATCTCTATGCGATTGCAAGCATTTGTTAGCCCTGCAGTAAAGGGAAGCTAAAGGACGAGGGGTGTCATGGAAAGCAAGAAGGTTAAATAGTTAGCTCTTTGAATGGGCAATTCACTGCAGGCAGTGTGTTAAATTTGCAATGACTCTTGCAGAGTGGAGCCCAAGGAATCCAATACATGTGCACACACTTGCAGATGAAAACACAAGCGGCCATGCTGGGACATTAGTGATGACATTGAGACCCAGACTAAACTGAGCCAGCAGAGAGCAAGGCCTGTGGCCGCGAGGACACGCAGAGCGAGTGGAGTGCACAAATGAAGGAATGAAAGATGGGCAAACAGAGATGAAGGTGCAACACAAAGCAGCAGAGGTGACTGAGCTTGTCTCTAGGCAAAGAAATGCAGGGAGGGGAGGGAGGGGGAGGGCCAGGGTGAGGGGAGGTGGAGTGTGGCAGCAGAAGGTATAAAAACACAGACATGATTGAAAAATTGAACAAGAGGATCATGGGAGGGTCAAAGAGGAGGTTTGGGTAAAAACAATGATAAATGAAGAAGTGTGGAAGAAACGGGCAGGTTTGAAGTAGTGGCAGGAAACACGAGAAGCAGGGAAAAAAAGGATAAATGAAGAAAGGAAGGAGAGAACAAGCAAGTGTACAGCTTAAAGGAATGAAAGACAATCAGAAGTACAAACCAAAACCACAATTCATTCTGCTTGGAATTACTGAACAAATTAATTATAAAGACGAGTTTTGGTTCAGTTTACCGTAATATAAAAACTCAATGAATAAAATTTACTAAATTACGCTAAAGTAGAATCAATTATTATTTTATGACAACCAATTGAGTTAACTTTCTTAATCAAATCATAAATTATGTTCACTAATTTTCAGAGAAACAGCATCTAAGAATATTTCACTTTCTGAAAATTTTAAAGATAGAACGTCATCGCTCCCAAGTTATTGGTATTTGTTTAAGTAAAGCAGGGGTTATCAAAATGAGAACATTTTTCAGTGATATGTAAATCTTGTTTTTTAATCTTGTGTTTAAAGAGCCATAAAACTACTTTAAAGTTTTGAAAACAAGCTGCAGAATATAAAAAAATGTTAACACAGAAATGCAACCTTTTGAAAAAAAGATGTCAAGCCCCACCTCTAACATGACCTACAAACTGAGAGCATCCTCTTTAAATTTTGCACTCGTGCAAGCTTTATGCACATGCTCCATGCCTTGTTTCCTGTTTTTGGTGTATTTTTGTGGCACCATCACAGCGCCGCATACAAACCTAGCATGGATACCAGGGATGCGTCAAAAAGTTGTTTCACATAAGAACAACAGTGATTTACAACAATTCAGCATCTATACCAAATGTCCAAAAATCAAAAAATAAAATAAATAAAAATAAATAAAACAAATCTGCTGGCTGTCAGGCTCTATTTTGTAAGGACGTCCTAACGTCACCACGCAGCTGTTTCTGGAACATACACATGTGCAGTGCTGTTGTGTAATAATTGCAAAAATTCCACCTAAGCTTGGATTAATGTTTAAAATTCAAAAAAATGTGAAAAAGACACATTATTATCTCCATTTGTTATTCTGTCTCGTGAAGCAGACTGGAGTAGATCATGAAGATCCTTTGCACATCTATAAACTGAAGCAGAAATCATTATAAATCAAATCATTTTGAATCAAAAATGAATTCTGAATCTAATCATGGCCCCAAAAATCAGAATTGAATTTAATCAAACTGAATCAAATCGTTAGATAATAAAAAATTCCCACCATATATGGTTACTAGTGTGTTGGGTTGCTTCTGTTTCTTCTGTGTGGATGACATTTCTAAAAACAGTGCCATGTTTACAAGAATCATTTTATAAACCTTCAAATAAAACCACCAAAAAAAGTGAATTTTTGTGTGGACAGCCTCTATTTTCAATAAACAGTTTTTGATCAGCTCTCAAGGCTCGTTCACACCGAGAGCGTTTTGAGCGGCAGGAGCTGCCAGTTTACATGCAAAGTCTATGGCGAACGCGCCTCAAGGGGTTGTGCGTCGCGTCACGCGCGTTATGAGCGGCGCGCAAGGAAGGCGGAAGGGGCGCAGAGCGTTTTCCGTGCATGCGGTGCTGCAGAAGCCGCCGCCGCCCGAGCCGCCGCCAGAGTTCAAATATCTGAACTTTTCGCCGCTCGACGCGTCTCCCACTGAAAACCGAAACAGACGGACTGGAGATCTTTACCTGAAATCGACCGTGTGCAGTTGGATTTTTTGGCAGGATTTATCAGCACCGATGTGGATCAGCTGCTCCGGACCAAAAAAAAAAAAAAAAAAAAAAAAAAAGAAAGAAAAAAGTTCGTCAGCTGGCAGCTTCTGGAGTGATGAAACTAACCGAACAAATCGCCTCTAAATCATCTGGTGAGTTAATTATCTGCTGTGCGCAACGTTCGCTTGCTTTTTAGTAAAAAAATTAAAGCCATTTTCTTTTACTTTATCTTTATTTCACCCGCCGAGGACACGCTCCTCCCACACGTCGCTGCTGCCGCTGCTTGTTCTGGTCTGAACACTAGTGCGTTCTATAGAGCGTCCAGTGAGAGACGTTTTGCGCTTTTTGGCCGCTCAAAACGCGTTTGGTGTGAACGCAGCATTACAGAGGGATTGTGTTTTTTTCTGCTTGGTGTTTGCCTGTTCTTCTCGTTTGTTCATGGGTTTGTCTGGTTACTATGGTTTTCTTCTTTATTGTTTTTTCTTTTTTTACATTATATTAACATTATTTCCACCAACTGATCCAACACAGAATTATCAGAGATTATGTTCTTGTCCGGACGATTGTTTTACAAAAAAATATTAGTTTCAAAATTTTCCATTGTCATAGCCTTTGTAATCTTTTAAATGTGGCTTAATAACAACAGTGAAACACTCAGATTAATGGCAGACAAGATGAGTTACAGAAAGTTGTGTTTTTCAATGTTGCCTCTTAAAAGGAAACAAAGTAAAAATAATCAGTTTCTTCACATAAAATATTTCTGAGAGCCAGCTAAGAAACTGGCTGGTGGTTTTGGTTGTACCACAGAACTCTAGGTGCCTCGTGGAAAGAGAAGAACAGAGGGATAGAGGAGAGAGGGGGGAGAGAGAGAGACGGAGGTACAGAGGGAGAGACGAAGAAGGAAGGAAAAAGCTGGGAGGCCACCTGTCAGAAAGGGGGCCCCCCAATGATAGCTGCAGCACTTCCTCCCCTTTCCTCCCTCTACCCCTCCTCCCTCCCCCCTGTCTCACCTGCGCCTCGTTCTCCTTCAGCAGCCTCCGTGTGCGAGCCCCCCCAGGGTCGTCGGTCACATTCAGGATCACCACACTCTTCTTCTCCCAGCCGATGAACGAGCCGTCCGTCAAGCCCTCCACCACAGACAGGAAGTCCTGGTAGCCATGGTGGCGTGTGGACACCACAGAAAAGGCAGTCCAGTCGTACTCCTCGAGCACCTCAAAAATGACCTCTAGTTGGAGCGCAGTGGAGGAGCTGAACTGGAGAAAGATGGAACCTGATTCCTGATTTGGGAGGAAAGCAGCAGATGTAGTTAAAAACCCCATCGTTCAATTCATCCTCTGTCATAACTGCAGCTATTAAACCGTGATAAATTAAAAACTATTTTACTACAAAAGAATACAATGCTCTGATATCCTCCATCTTTGTGCATAACAAATCACATGCGTTGCAAGACTTGAAGTCTTTATGGAGCAGCAGCCTTCATGCAGCCGAACGGCTAAAACAGCCTGGCCTGTCGAGTGAATTCTCCTATGACGTCCAGAAGGGAGCGTTTCTAACAAGTCTGCTCAGGGGTGGGAGGGGATGAGGACTAGGCTGAGCTACATCTTCAAAGGAAGTTTATCAATGTGTTACAATTTAAATCCTCAAGAGAAAATGAAAAGGATGAGTATACAGCTTTCTCC